GGCTCTATGACAATGGCGTAAGTGACACCATTTACTTAGCTGTGTAGGTGTAAAAACTTACATATACCTTTAATTCATTTCTCTCCTTCACTCACATTGAGATTATTGCAAAGTTCTAAATTTTTCTCATAATTCTTTTCATCATGGGCTCACCTTCTCTGAGTCCACTGTCTTCAGTACTGTCTGAGTTGGTATATCTTGTCTGGTATAAATGCACTAATTACCTAATGATATTTCTTATTTTCATGGTCATTGCTAACCCCACTACTGGTCTAACAGTCTTTAAATATTATTTGCATAATATCAATCCCTTAGTAAAACTAATTATTGATTCCCATCTTCTGCTGCATCAGCTGAAAAGTATGTAGTTTTCAAAATTCTCTACTATTTTTATTCTTATTCTCTATTTCTTTCCTACATGTGCTTTTTTCCTCAATCCAAACCATTGGACTCAGTAGGTCACACTGGCATCCCCCTTTTGGGATTTGCCCATAGACTTTGGGAGGTTTAGGTAAAAGAAGAAAAAAATCACTGGCGACACCAAGATTTAAAACTGTGTGCCTAAATATACTGTTAGCAAATGAAGAAAATAAGAAATCCAGAAAAAGAAGGAAACTAAAGAGAAAATATTTTGAGCTTCAATTTAGACATCTGACTCATTTACTAGTCAACATATCAGCTGAAAAGTTGCGATCCTGAAACTTCAGGAAACAGGACTTGACATGATGGAACCCTACCTGAACCAGGTCCATAAAATAAAAACAAAGTGGATAAACAGTTTGCAGTGATTATTGAGTTCTGCCTCTACAACCGACCAATGAAAATAAAGCACCATGAATTTCAAACACAATATATTGATATAGAGCCCAGGTATATTCTGGTTTTAGAGAAACTAAACTTCACAAGGCTCGGCTCCTATCTGGACTACTTGTGCAGACAGGAGGGACTTTCTATCTCCTCTGGTGCCAGGGAGGGGCTCTCTGAGCAGGAGGAGGAAAGAGCTGAACTTGTAAGTATCCTTTCAGGGCGGTGATCATTTCTAAAAATTGCCCACTCGGGGTCCTGCTCAGCAGGTCTACTCTACAATTCGTTTCCATTCTCTTGATGATGACAATTTCCCACTCTCACTGAAACCTTGCTCCTACTGTGAAGCATTTCATTTCTGGCTGTGATTCTCAACCCGTGTGTGTTCTCACCCTGCTTTTTATTGACTGCCTGGCAGACAGGTGCAATAGAACAAACGCAGTACGTTCAGGTGAAAGAAAAAAAAAACCACTTGGCCTCCTCAAAAATTGCCACTGGTGCCAATTTTGGAATCATCATTTGTCCTTTATGAATTTCAAAATTGTTTTCCTGGATATAGAGAAAGCAAGATAATGGAATGAGAGAACGCTAACATATTCATGTTGGCCTTTCCAACTATATGAAATGAGCAAAACTGAGATAGACATATTGCTCTTTAAGCATTTTTCAGTGTTAATGGATAACAGTGTTTATATTTGGCATTAAACAATGATGAAGGAGGCAAACCTCTAAAGTTACAAAGTTGGTGAGAACTTTCTCATGAACGTGAACTTCAAATTATACTACAGTAAGAAGTGGAAGTTTTCAATTTTGTTGATCCTTTCACTTATATTTAAATAGGTTGGTGTTCATGCAGCAATAGAGGCACACATATTCATGTATATTAAAGACTTTTTTTTCAAAAAAGTGCGCTTGTCAATAGTACATAAACAATTTGGGAGAAGACAAAGACCCAGGACTTTAGTAGTTGAACTTTCTTGGAGAATAAGCCTGCAGTAACTATGCCTGGATGGGCTTTGTTCATTTTGTTATCTATTTGTTGCCTTGCTTTACTCATATGATACACCATTATAAAGAAATAACTGAATTCTATACCCAAGTCATCATTTATGTAGTATCTTGCTTTCAGAAGGAAACACAGATATATACTACCCAAGATATGCTGCTTTCTTTTAAGATCTTCAAACTCTCTAGAGATGACATTATTGTGATTCCCTTTAGTGCAATGGAGTCTCCTATCATTAGAAATTCTGCCAAGTTCTTACCCAAAACCCTGTTTGAAGTGCAGGGTTCATGAGGTCAACTTTTTGTGATGGAATGGGCCCATGAAATCTGACTACGTTTGGCTACATTAATGCTTGTGCACAGGTCCTAGCTAAGTAACATAATTACGGCTATGAACTCAAGCCAAGAAATCTGCCCTCTCCTTCACAGAGTGTTAAACAGACAAAGATGTCCGTTGTGTAAAATCACCTTGAAAAGGAGAAAGCACCAAGGAAAGGGGATTGCTCTGAAGGAAAACGGAAAAGGATCCTTTGAGAGGGATTCTTTAATTATAGCCAGCTGGCTGGGTGGCTAATGCAGTGGAAAACAGAGGCCTGAGCAGCTGGGGATCCTGGGAATTTCTGGAGTCTTGGCAGCAACATGGAATTTTCTAGAAGGAAAATCTGAACAAACCCAGGAGCCTATTTGTTGAGACCACTGGCATGTTTAGGAGGTAACTCTGAATGAGAAGGTGAAATCGGTGATTTCTCCAGGAGAGTGTGAAGCAGCATCACGACAGTGACAGGGCAGGAGGCAGTGTCATTGGCAGGAGAAAGTGCGTCTAAGCAATAATCCCCTGCTAACCAGCAAATGGTCCGCATCCTCAGATGCCCTTGAAGAGCAGTAACTGGAAAGCGTACTGTCTGCTCCCACTGCTGCCAATGAAGGACACGTCTTTATTCTGTCTCATGGGGGGGAATAAAAATGAGGTAGCTCATTTCATTGATGCGGTTCTCTTTCATGTTCCCCAAGGGTTGGTGTCTTTCATTTATAAGCAAAATAAAACCTATTCCTTTAATTTAATTTTTGTCCTCAGAGCACTGATTTCCTGGTGTCCAGCAGGCATTTAGACTGCCCATCTCTGCAATTTGTCCAACATGCTCATAAGAGGCACCAGCTCTAGGGCCCCCAGCAAAACATAGTCCACCCTGTTTGAAGACAAGCAGGAGAGGGGATCTTGGCTTCTGCTGAGTTTATGCCCCTGGCCCGAGGTTGCTTCTAGACCCTGGTTCTTGTGGAATCTGACTTCACACTGATGCACAGTGATAATTCCACATTGTCAGCACCACGGCCTTCTGGGGATCCTGTGGATCCTTTACTTCACTCCTACCAAAAAGTTAAACATTTTTAAAAACAAGATCCCCCACCCCAAAAAAGAAAAACCAAAACACACACACAATAAAACCTCTGCGTTCATGAAAGGATCCTTTCACTGTTTTAAGTTTAAAAATTCAAGTATACAGGTGATCAATATATAACTATGCCACAGCCATGATGAATTCACATTATTTTTCCCCATAAATTATTTGTTTTAATCACTTTATTGTGAGATAGTCGTTAGGCTTTTGTAATATCAAAATAACTTAATTGAGATGAACAGAAATTGAAGAACATGGTATAAAATAGTCTTCCAAACTGTCAGGGTCATGAAAAGAAAAAAAATGAAGAAACTGTCATGTCAAAGATCAGAGGAGACTAAAGATTCAGGACAAGTAAACACAATTTGGTGTCCTTGCCTGGATCCCAAAACAAAATAGGGCGCCAGAGGGAGGAAGTGGTGATTTCTCAATGTAATCTGTCACTGAGTTACCAGTATTTTACCAGTGTTAATTCTTAGTTCTGAAAACTGTACCCTGATTAACTTTAGAGGAGATAAGTAAAGTTTTTACAGGAACTCTCTTTATCATTTTTGTAATTTTTTCCTTTTTTTAAAAAAGATTTTTATTTATTTATCTTTAAAGGGGAAGGAGAGAGGGAGAGAAACATCAATGTATGGTTGCCTTTAGTGCATCCCCTGCTGGGAATTTTTGCCTGCAGGTAACTGGCTTGCAACCCAGGCATGTGCCCTGACTGGGAATTGAACCACGATCCTCTGGTTCGCAGGCCTGTGCTCAATCTACTGAGCTACACCAGCCAGGGCACATTTTCGTAAATATTTTATAAAGCTAAAATTATTCCAAAATAAGAAGATAACACTTTAAGGGCCCCAGTGTGGCAAACAATCTCTAACACCAAGTCTGTAATGATCAGTTTTTTTCTATATAGGGTGCTTCTGTTAATGTAACAGCAAGGAGATAAGATACTGTGGAAAATACCAAATCTATTTTTCTTATTATCCATTAATCAGGTTTTATGTAGCAATATTGAGTGCCTATGCAGGAACACTCACACTTTGTGACTCATGTTTGACTCACTCTTTCATAGAAAATGAAAAACTAGACATAGAAAAACTAGACACACAGGCTGGGGCATTGCAGTGAGGGAGCAGTGTTTGTGTCCTCTTTCGAGAGTCAGAAGGCTTCGCCGGACATCACGGTGGTCCCTGAGTTATGAGCGATGAAGTGCAAAGGATGCTGGGAAAAGCATTCCTTTGTAGGGAAGAACAGAAGCTCTATTACCAGGGTTGGATCCCATTTCCATTCCAAGGGAGTCTTCCTACCTCAACTAAGATGCAAAATCCATTCATAAATAACCAGGAGATACATATTGATCATCTAAGTACATCCCGCCTTGCAATGATCTTTTTACCTGCCTTCAATCTCTCAAATTTCTGTGCTGATTCCTGTAACTGTCTTTCACTTCCACAATATTGCCACTACTGCAACTGCCTCCATTAGCTTCATCACCATCTCTGACAACAAAGTAAAATCTCCCGTATGTCTTGGTCAGCTAGGATTGCCATAACTGGGGCCATGCCGAGTTTTAAATACATTGGTACGAGCAATGATTTTTCCAATATCTGTAAATATCCAATAATGGCTATGGATGTTCTGAACAAAGTCTGCTGCCAAGAGCATTTTATCTGTTCTGCCTGTTAGTTTCTTAAGTGTGTTTATAAAAACTTATTCCCAGTGGACTAATTCAATAAATTCCTGATGCTACTACACTCATGTAAAAAAAATAGTTAGTACAATTTCTTTATTTCCTTTCAGATTTTCAGACGATGCTGGTTGGTTTTCAAGAAGGCTTCTAGTAAAGGACCCAGAAGGCTAGAAAAATTTCCGGATGAAAAGGCAGCATATTTCAGAAACTTCCATAAGGTAAATCTCAGTCTTTGGAATTGCTAGGGAATAGCCAGACCCTTGGCAACAACTTGTGGAGACGTTTATTTTGATTAATGAATCTGCAAAGGAAAAATGCGTGGCCAGGATAAAATGTCTCTGTTCCAATAAAATGCAAAAGTTATTTTTCTCCTTTATTTTAATGATCTGCTATAAATGCCAGAGGTACCTCTGCAAAGTGAAAGACTCATTTTTATTGCTGCTTTGCAGAATGAGGTAGCGCATAACTCAACCAGATCATTTTCCAAGGTGCTGAGTAAGCATTTTCTTGCTCTTCAGATTAATTGTGCATTTGTTACTTTGATTTAAACCATTGGTTATATTTACAAGATACAACTTTTAAGGCTGGAGTCAGTAGTGCTGATGAACCTGTAATGGACGTGGCATTTACTGTTTATAGCCTTAACAAGACAGTGATCATTAAATATGCCGATATGTAAAGATTGATGTGGCAGAAATTCTAGGAATGAAATATCAATTTCTTGAGAATTAAATGTAAGAAGGAACACTGCCATGATGTTAAACGTGCTGCCTAATCTTTGGTGAGAGTATGAAAACACAGTTAAGTCTTGGATAGATTCATGTGGAGGATTCATGATCAGAACTCAAAATTTGAAACAGTACTGTTTGGTGGTGCATCTGATGATGCAGTAAAGATTCCTATTCCTAAATTTAACATCTGTTTGAAGTTGCAGAAGCTAGTTAACCTCTATGTACCTACTTTCTCTCCTGTGACAGATGAAGATTACAATACTGCCTACCAATGGGATTTATAAGGACTAAATGGTACTATAGACATACTGAGATAAAAAATAACTAGGTATAGCATTAAAGTTGGAAATCAAAGGACACATTTTGGAATTGGTTTGTGGAACCTGACAGGCCGTCCTCGGGGATGAGATGTTGGGTATGAGTGACAGGTAGGGCTTTCGAGTGACCCAGGAATGTGGGCTTTAGCAATAGAGATGCAGGTGGTGTGATTTATGAAGATGGGAGGACTTGAAGAGCGGACACGGAGTGAAAATCACAAGCTTTCACCTGGTATATGTTGAATTTGAAATGTCTATTACATATTCAAGCTAAAATGTCAAGTAGCTAATTAGATAAACAAATGTGGGCCTGAATGGGGGGAATGTCACTGATAAAGAGTTATTCATTTTCCTATCATTGGCTTCTTGATAATACTTCATTCTGTAGCACTGGATAAACTGTCCCTGAGAGAGAATGAAGAAAGAGGAGATAATTAACACTCCCCCAAGTTAGAGGATTGGTGGAGGTGGAGGAGCCAGAATAGAAATCTGAGAAACGCAGGCAGTGAGAAGGAATGCATTAGAGTAACTCACAGGAAAGCAAGAGAAAAGTGTGTTTAAAAAAACTGAGTGAGTGGTATTCTGTGTCCAGCTTGAGAGATGGAGAAACTTGACCGAGAAGGGACCACTGGACATACGTCACAGAGACCTCGGTGGCTTTACCCAGGGCTGTTTCGCTGAAATGCAAGGCCCAATTTCATTCAGTGACTTCCAAGAGAGTGAGAAGGGAGGGTGGGGCAGGTGGTCAAGCCATTTATTTCAATAAGTTTCGCTGTAAAATTGAGCCACGATGGGGAGCAGTGATGATTTGAAACCATGGATGTGTTATCACACACCTGTGAGCCCACACGGGGATCTAAGAGCCCCAAAATGGGATGTTTAGAGGTCCCCATGTGGAACAATAGGATTTGGTCTTTCCAAGAACCCGAGACCGACCTAACAAAGAGGGAGGAACAGAGTGAGTGCAGATCTGAGGAGGTTGGATGAGCACGGGTACTATGACCATCACTTCAAGCATGTGCACACTTCATGTGCCTGAGCTTCCGCCCTCCGGCCTGTGTAAATTCAGCAGCAGAAGATCGAGGGGAGCGCAGTGAGAATAGGAGTCGTTCATCTTGTAATAAATAGCAAAACAGATGCCGTCGACTGCAACCCAAAGGTCCCTAAAGCGCTGGAGTAACTAGATTCGGTCTATGTGACAGCTAAAATTTACCTTCCCGGTGTGATGACTGAAGTTTTTATTATTACAATGTGCTCTGCATGGCATTTGGGAGGCTAATGCCATTTCTTAGTGATGGAAGTTTTCCTTCAGGAATTTATTCTTATTTTTTCTTCAGTGATTGTAAACTAACGTGGGGAAGTCACACCAATTTTGATATGACAATAATAATAATAAGTCTTAAGGGCTGTTTTCAAGAAAAGTATGGGAACGGCCTCCTCTCTTATTTGTCATATTTTAGCAAGTTTTGCCCAGTCCTTCTAACTGGACGCCTCATGATAGGCTTTGGGTAAATGATCAGAAATTTCCTCTCTGTGGGTTCTGCGTGAAATGTCCATTAGGCATTTGAACCAAAATATTTAATTTAAAGGTGTGTCAACATCATTTTTTCCTTCTTCCTACAATCTTACCTGGCTGCATGACCAGCTTTTCCTTTTTTTCTCCTAGAATATACACCTAGTGTTATTCAGATGATCTTATATCATCTTCTATTATTCTATCACGCCACTCTTTATCACTCAGTTGTGATCGGCCAGCTCATCAAAATTATATTACCAATAAGCACTTCTAACTTTGTTCAAATTAAAGTAAAAACTTTCAGCATAAACACTGTCTTTCACTGGGTGAGATGAGAAACACACCACTGCGTCCTGCTTCTGTTTACCAGGAAACTGCTGTTAAACACAATTCAATATAAATAAATAAATAAAACACCATTTTAACAAATATGTATTTTTGTGAGGCCACACTGTCTAGTGACAAGATAGAAGGTGAAGTGGGTTCAGGTTCTCCTATCATTTGTACAAGAGGGACAAAAATGTCCCAACTCCCCAGGCCTGCCATAAGGAAAGAAATAAGATTCTACACAGTCAATAAATGCTAAGAGTTATCACTGCTTTAAGATTTGACCATTAAGTGAAATTAGGTTTGCAAACAGCTCTCTGTAGTGAAATAGGAGGACAGGCAAAGTGGAGATATAAAAGCAGAGGGAACAGTCAATTCTGCCTCCAGAAATTAGGACTTTCCAAAGGAGGTAAGTAAGTGTCAGGTGGTTTCTCAAGAATACTCTGTTTTGACAAAACAAACTAATGGAGAAGAATGCGTTATTAAAAAGGGAAGAAAGAGTGGGTTTACATATACTGAAAGGTCCCGCTGCATGGCAATTTGAAGAAAGTTTGAGTATAGTATTGGCAAACTCTGGCAGGAGGGCTTGGGGACAGCAGAGAGAAACGCTCCAAAGAAGTAGGAGGGGCATGCGAAGCATCACTGATGCCTTACTCATGTGTTTGGTCCTTATCATTTAAGCAATAAAGAAGTTGAGAAGGGTTTTAAATGGTTTTTCATATCTTCAAGTATACATTTAAAAAATAATGTGTAACATCAAATCAAATGAATAGCATAACAGATTGACTATATACAGAAAAATGTGTTCATTGAATATTATAATATTCCCACTTCTCCTAAATGGGCAACAAAGTCCTGAATGGATAAAGGTAAGGTAGGTGGAGAAGGGGTTGATTTGGGTGTATTTTTCCAGGTATAGTAAGTAGACCTACGAAGACTTAGTAATCAATTGCATATAGCGGGCATGAGATGGGAGTGAGACTGGTGCCTTTTTGGAACTGATGTCATAGGGTCATCTGCTGTTAGTGGGGACCGAGACCACATGAGGGGGAGCACTGTTCAGTGGTAAAGAAAAAAGTCACACTTATTTGTAAATTAGGAGATATTTGTGGTATGTGTTCAGGCAGATATTTCAATGAACAACTAGAGTACAGCCAGACTGGAGTGGAACTCTCTGGGACAGCTGTTGGAGGGAGTTCGTGTTAAGGAGGGTGTGTGCCAACACCTCTCTGTGAAAGCCTCACAGTGTAAACTGGAACTGTTTCCTGTAAGAGACGGGCACTATCGTATCGACCTTATGGTGACATCCGGAATACTCCTCAGATATTTCCATCCCAGATTTATTCAGAGTTACAACTAAAAAAAAATGTGACTGTTGAATGAAAAGAAAAACAGCTAATTCATGAAATAAAATATTAGGAAAAGTGCTATTTAAATGAGGAAGTGTTAGTAGAATAAATGTTAAAATACTGAACAAATTTATAAAATTTATAGTGATCATCAAGAGTCTTTAAATACACACCAAAATGAAAATGTAATAATTCTAAAGAGATCATTGTTCCTTTTCTCAACGAAGCAAATTATGGAAAATATGGACACTTGCAGAGGGTTTGAAGCAGAGCGAGCCTTGGAGGTTGTATGGCTTCTCCCTGGGACTGTCCCTCCCTGCAGGAGGCAGATGGAGCGGGTGATGCAGAGAATATCACCCCAGGGGTCAGATGGCATGAAATTTGTTCAAGGCCTGGACAACCAGCCACCAAGTCAAAAAAAAGAGCAATTGAAAATATCCTTGATATTTTTACCCTCAAAAATCAAAAGCCAAACCACCACTTCTTATGGCCTTTTCCATTCAGAGAACTAGGAACCCTATTTTCCAGAAGTGAACAGTGATGAAGCTGTAAACTGCTTACAGTTCGCTCTGACAGCCAGGTCAATAAAGGAAGATCTCTTTATGAAAAAGGTGGGCCTATTTTAAAACTTCGTTTTCTCTGGGGCAATTAATGGTCAGTCTAAATATTAGATTTCTAGAATAGAGGGGTGGAGGTAGGAAGCAAAGTTCTTCATTTTCAAGAGAGCTTGAAGAAATAGACTAGTATGACTTTTCCAAATTGTTCCATTTGTTAATGTTTAAATACTTCAAAGTTAGGATTCATTGGTTATTTTGGTATGCCCTAAAATATACTATAATGCTCAAAAGTAATAAATGAAAATAATCAATCAAATGAGTGAAGTGTTTTCAGTCTAAATAAGGGGCTTCGGAAAAAGAAGCTAATGACAGTTATTTCTTTGCCAGCCTTAACCTTGTGCTATACTCTGTCTGGAATATG